TGTACCATATGCAAATTTTTTATTTGCATGAGGATTTAACTTTTTTAACTGCATAATATAATGGTGGATTTCTTCTCTAACAATTGCATGATGAGTGAGGTAATATCTCGTATTACTCAGTATTTGAAACCGGCATTATTTAGTAATCCCTTCGTTTAGCTGCTCCTGAAACACTTTGTATTAATGCTGCAATTTTATATTGTTTCTTAATTTATTTTCCAGCATAGTTAGTCTAAACTTAGCAACCTATATTCTGGCGATCTTTTTTCCACAAAAGTTTTGTTTCATATCTTTCATCTTTATATACCATATTACTTTCGCCATATGTATATAATATCTTCATTATATTCTGTACTTTCAACTTCAAATTTGATTCCTATCGCTTCTAACTTTCACAAGACTTCTAATTTCTCATAAATACATTCTTGTTCATTTGTCATATTACCCATACCGTTGAAGGGTTTGGCTCAAAAATTGTTCTTCATTGAACTATAGTTCCGAAAATGCTATCGGTGGCAATTAACCTCCTGCTTAATCTTAATGATATAGCATATAAAATCTAGCACAAACAATCGGCGCCTGTTAACATCTGAAAGTCAAAAGCCTTTAGCGAGCGCCACTCGTTTTACCCATCTAGTTGGAACTGCTATATCACAAAGATATTTTCTGCAACAAGGCCTTCAAGTGTCATATGCAACCCCAAACTTAAATCTGTTGTGCCGATTCAAACGCTGTGCGTTATAAAAGGAAGAAAAATTTTCACCTCCAAAATCCATGTATTTTAACAGTTTCCTTCAGAACTGCTTCTACCCCTAAAGCATCCACAATTCCCTTTTTAACTAAGCAACTCTGGATTATCATATAAGATTCTCATTCTTCCTTCCTTTAAAATAGCATTACTAGTTTGTAGTAAAATAGTTTTCCTTCGTGAATAATTTAAATTAAGATCTAGAGTTAACGTATTCTCATTCTGGAATGTGGCCTCAATCTTTACTACTCTATCGTAAATTAAGGGGACTCATACACCTTAAAATTCATAAGATCTTCGAATATGTGACTGTTGCAAGAATCGGGATAACTTATTTATTTTAAAAGATATTACTTCCAACTTTTTACAGCTGACTACATAATATAGCTGCTTTCTGAAATAGTCATCAGAAAGTTTGTGTTGCCACAAAATATTTTTATAATTTAATCCACTTTGTGACAAATGTTTCGTCAAGTTTCCACCTTGCGTGCACAGTTTAAAACAATCTGTTGCATAATTTAATTCCATATTTAATATATATAGCTTTTATAACATTTGGTAACTACTGTGAACCTAAAATTCTAAGAACGTCGTGTTAAATTTTTAATTTATTTGGAGTTGAGTTTATAATATATTTTATTAAAAAATTCTGTAATGTTTTCGTGCATAAATGTTTTTTAATACTAAAATATTCAACAAATTTTTGGTTCACTTAGAAAATAGTGCCCATATAAAGAATTCCATGAAATTTTAAGTACGTACTATTAGCCACTTTTAAAATATCATGCGCGCAAGGTGGAAACATGACGAAATACTTTGTCACAAAGCGGATTAAATTACAAAAACATTTGTGGCAACACAAACTATCTAGTTACTAGTTTCTAAAGCAGCTATATTATGTAGTCAGCTGTAAAAACTTGGAAGTAATTGCTTTTAAAATAAATAAAATATCCCAATTCTTGCAACAGTCACATATTCGAAGATCATAAGGGGTTTAAGGTGTATGAGCCCCCTTAAATAATTATGCAGCTGGATACTTATGCTACACGTGTCTTTTGGCAACATGCCTACGTTTTAGACAACAAAGATATAATCCTTGCAGATTTGCTTCTCGCCTTCTATCCAGAATCGCCAGTGGGCAATTTTCTGTACCAAGTTTTTTAACCCTACAAAGCTGCACTTCCCATATTCCCTTTAGGAAGCGTATTTTGTTCGAAGATTTTCCCCCACCTCCACTATTACCGTTTCTATAATTAGAATGAATTAACAAGCCAGATGCTTCTCTACATTCTACTTCTTTTCTTAAAAACGCTAAAAAGCTCACTTATCTTGAATTCTGAAGTTTATTCTCGTTTTCTATTATATTCTAGATTAATTTCTTCCGGCAATTTTAGTAAAATCAAAATTTCTTTCATATATCATAATGTATTTCCCTACGCCCTGCCGTGACGTTAAAAGTTTGTAAACATCTTAATTGCACTTGACATTCATCGTGCAACTTTCTTAATGCTTTCACATGATTGGAGTTTCTTACTATATCATTAATAATGGGCCTTAGACAAGTTAATGAGAAGAGTCAAGCAATGAAGAAAATTGTTAGGATCAACATGAGGTGAAAAATGAAATTGTTGAAAAGTATGAAGACAGCATGAGTATTCGGGAGTTGGGCTATTGCGTACCATATGCCGAGTAAGATGATGTATACGATCATCATAAATAAAGATGCCATTGAATTTCAAAGGCGGTAAAAATTGATTGCCAAACAAAGGTCTGAAATGTTAGAGCGTGTTGAAAAATTACTTTTGATGTGGACAGCAGAAAAACATTTATGTTACACAGTAGCATGTGCAGTGCTTCATTTAGGTATAGAATATACTATTCCACAGTCTTATAATAATAGTCAAAGGATTCTTGACATGGATATATGGGTTTACTAATTTTTGGTAAATTGTTATATGAAGATTAAAACAAAATTTTTAAGGTTACTTATGCATGGCAGGGACGAAACACGAGGTCTGAAAAATTGGGGAGAGGGTGAGATAAGCTGATTACCCCTGTTGAATTAGCATTATCTCACTGACTTTTCAGTTCTTCATGTTTCTAAAATTTTCATTTAATTTTGCATTTAAATTGTATTTGTTTTACTGCTACCACTATACTACTATCTATTGCCTGGCAGATTTTCCTTTATCTATTTACTTCCATTCTTCACTTTTCATATTCATTTTATTAATTTCTTTAAAAATTGTTTATTTTTGGAACTGGTACTTAAATTGTATAGTTGATTTGGTATAACTGCCCATTGAAATTCTAATGTTTGGCTAAATCTGCACTATTAATAGGAATTATATTCATTGCATTATTGAATTTTGTCTAAATTTGCACTATTAATCGGAGTTATTTTCATTTCATGATTTTGATTATTTAAATATTTGCAGCCAAGTTGCAGGATTCTAAAATTAATTTTACTACTTTCCATTTTTGATTATGTTATGTATATATATATGTATGTATGTATATATATATATATGTGTGTGTGTAAGATAAAAAATATGTAAATCAGCTTTATAATTCAATTTAGAAATTGCCTCCTAATTCCTCATTTTTAATTTGGGTATTTCCTCTCTGTATTCTAAAAATAGTAATAACTTTTCTTGACTTTGCAAGTTCGAGATCAGTCCACCTTGCTCGGCTTGCGTAATTCTGATGACGTAGCTAGTTCAGAACTTGAAATCAAAATTTTGAGAACTAATACATTTCTAATCTAAACAAAAACCTTCTCTTGGTGAGCCTCCATACTGGATAGTTTCGCACTTTCGCTCTAGCTCTTTTGCAGTCAAAAAATTACTTCATTCCCTTTGCTTTGTCGTGCTACTAACTACACCGTTATCTATAATGTGAAACTCTGTATAAAAATTGGGGTTCGTATTGTGCCCATGATCCTGTGTGACGAAAAATATATTTCTCATAATTAGTTCGTGTCCAGAAATAAAAATTATATTCAATTCAGTCACGTCTATCTACAAGTCACTACTTCGAGTACCATCTTTCTAACTACGCAGTAAATGCTCTCCAAGTTATAACGCAGTGACCCATCGTCAGTCCATTGCAGCTTACTCCAAGTCATTTTATTTTATATAAGTAAGCGTATGTAACATATAAGTGCGAATATTGCTTACAGATACTTACAGATACATAATTATGCAAGAAAAAATGCGTTTCTCAACTTCTTTAGATACACCAAAAAGTGACTTACGATCCACATTTCAAAAGCCACTGATATATTGTTCTAATAATTAATAAACGCTATGTTGAATAAAGCATTACTTACCATTTTTTGTTCAACTGAGCTTAAGCAAAAATTTTGTAAGTGGAATCCAAACCGAGATTCGGAAAATAGTATTTTGATTAGCAATTCTAAAAGTATGTTACTAAAATTTTTAGTCAAGATTTTACAGTAGGCTAAGGAAACAACTTAAACATTGTTGTAATTTAAATGAAAATATAAATTATGTAGGTATGATTTTTATAGAAGGAATTTTCATATATATTGGTCTTTTTTTAATCAATATTTACTAAGACAGCAAAATTTGTTAACATCAAAATCTATTAATATCAGAAACCTTTTTCTAAATTGATATTTTATTTTTAGTTAAGCTCAAATACAAAGATTTCACTTTTCGATTTATGCACGTCCCCTGAATATGATATCAAATTTCAAAGTAATATATTTCGACCAGTATTTGTTGTCTGGAAGTTGCACGATTTGTATTTTATTTATTTTAATGAGTATGAAATTTTCATAAGTATAAATATAAATACCAAGAGACCGTATAAAACGTTATATTTATAATTTTTACTAAGTCAATCTTTTTTCTAAATTTAAAAAAGGCAAACCATAAAATTTTGCATTATTTGAAGCATTTTCGTAACTGGTAGAATATGTCTACCACCAACGGCTGCGAAAATGAACTCCGAGCAAGGACTTTTATAGACACGGTGTGTTTATAAATACAGAACTCGATCTTACACATTATGGAATTAAGTGTGATAGATCTTAGAATCCCTATTAAAATATTATTTTAATTAATAAACATTTGATGCACACACACAAAAATATTTATGCTGCTTACATTCAATTATTACTGCATAATTAATTCGTATTCCTAATAGAATTATAACTTATCCGCTATCATTCAATGATATTTATTTTGACATTTAAATAGTTAAAAACAAAAATATTTAAACATACCGTAACATTTGGAGGGTTACGTACACCACTTCTGCTGAAATAAGCTCTGACGGCTCCAGAAACGGCCGAAACAAAAACATCATTAAAGCTGCACCGCATTACTTGTTTGATCCTCAAAACTTTAGAAAAACGAATGTTTTGTGACCAAGCTACCACTCTGTTCTGTGGCTTGTGTCGACGGTTGAAGAAATTATAGTCCCTTGGTTTGAAAATCAGCCATCCCAGAAATGTGAGAGGTGCCACAAACAAGGCGCGAAAGAGGTTAAGGAAGAAAGTGGCTGATCCGAATCGGGACTTCAGTCGAAGCAATTGTTGGTTGTCAGAAAGGTAGTTGCCCAATATGACTATCAATGTTATTGCATCACTGACGGCTTGATGTATTCTTACAATCAGAACCGTGTCTTTGCAACGACCGAAATCTTTAACAAGCCTGATCTCCCATAAAGGTCTGGATAGTGGCAAAGGTTGATTCATCAGATCGCTGATGTGTTCTTCCAAGTCCTTTGTAGAAACTATCTCTTTCTGTTCATCATAAATATGATTATCCAGTGAAAATTCTTCATCATCAACCCAACAATATCCACTACATACTGGGACCACTTTTTGCATAAATCTAGGAAAAGCTCGTTCACCGTACTCTGTGGTCTTATTTAAAACTCGCATTCGAACCATGTCTCTGAGTTTTGAAGAACTGAGGCCGGGATCTAGAAAGAAAAGACAATGAGCAATATGTAGATTGAAAGAAGAATCATGGAGCCATAGGGCTTCTGGTGGCTTCACGAAGTTTTCCGGTTCCAACCAGGAGGATCTTCTGTTCTGACGTTGTTCTTCTACATCCCCTATTCTAGCACTTCGTCTGTAGCCACAACAGCCGGCAAAGAAAATTCGCAGGCCCAGAGCTATGCCTAGGAACCACATGAGTGCAATGACTGTAGGAAAGCCCGTTAAAACAGATATGGCTGCAAATATGACGGACAGTAAGAAACTCCATGCGATGTTCTTATCTACTGGATGAGTTAACAACTTAATAGATGCATTCTGTAAATATCGCGGAGTTTTAACTTTTTTACAAGACGATTTTTGCGTTGGGGTGTTTGGTACTAGTTGATAACTAGCACTAGATTCGCAAATATTAGAAGTTTGTAATTCTGTCTTGTCTTGGGAATGCTCATTTCCCGTGCTTTCCATTATAATTTTGAAGCTAAGTTTTAGCTGAAGCTACTATAACTTAGCAAATGATTTTCTCTGAACGGCATTTTTATCAAGCTAAACTATAATTATGAAATATAACAAAATATGGCAGGCATTTTGTTCATTTGGTAAACAGCATTGCCACTGCCATTCAAATAAAAATAATGTCTTAAATAATTTTATTTATTGAAAATTAGCATGCAAGGTTAAGTAACAAAAGATTAAAGTAATGAAGTAAAATATGTAATTAAGTATGTAATAGATATACTCGTAGAAAGTTCCACTAGAACCTTCTGTGGTCGGATTGGCTTCATTATTATAATTACGTAAATTGAACAATTGCACCAGATTAATAATTTCTTCTTTCTTTAAAATTAGTTTACTTTTACTACTTTCGGTTATCTTTCTTTAAATTACATTTAATTTCTTTATAGTGAAATTTAAAGTAAAATAAAATTTACTTTTACACTGAACTTTGATTTTAAGGAAGGAAAAAAACAAAAATCTTAGATTTTGCATATAATATATATACTCGTAGAAAGTTTCACTCGAGCCGTCTGTGGGCGGATTGGCTTCATTATTATAATTACGTAAATTAAATAATTGCATCAGATTAATAATTCATTATTTCTTTAAAATTAGTTTACATTTACTACTTTCGGTTACCTTTCTTTAAATTACATTTAATTTCTTTATAATGAAATTGAAAGCAAAATAAAATTTATTTTTACAGTGAACTTTGATTTTAAAACGAAGGAAAAAACAAAAATCTTAGATTTTTCTAAAATTTAGGGGTAAAAATAAATATGTGCATTTAGATATTTTTCTGCTTTATAATAATAAAAATATTCGTCATGTTTCAGAATATTTTGTTTCTGAAGTCACATGATTTCACTTTATAAGAGTTTGTAAGTCACACAGTTTTCCTTTCTCATATGTCACAAAAGATGCTGTTAAATGCTAGTTTTGATGTCACCACTTCATAATTTTGTATTAAACTCTTAACTGATGAAATCATCTGCATAGTTCCTTACAGTATTGATCGAAACACGTTGCCTTTTGAAATAATAAAAAATTGCTTTCCATTTTGTCACAGAAAAACTAATCGTTTTACTTCAAGACTCTTCAAGTTCATTCCATAAAACATTTGCGAGAACTGTAATCCTTGCTTGTAGTTTTATTGAGAGCATTTTACTCGCATTCGTAAATTTTTGATGACTGCCACTCACAAATTCGTTCCGTATCCATGGAAACAGAAAGCTTCAGCATCTTCTGCAGCTACATTCCTGAAATAAATTTAAAAATATTTTATCGAGAAACTATTGGGGTGAAAAAAGTGTAATCATAAAATGCAAAGACAAATTTTTCATTTCCTAGAAAATATTTTTTTTTTACTTTTTATTTAGTCATGGTTCTTAAATTTATGTATCATTTATTTCAATGTACGGAAATATTTTCTAATACTAAATTGCGATATCTTCATGATCTGAGATCTCATGCGTCCAAAAAAAATTATTCGCTTCTAGCCAAAGACGAAAATCCGCATTTTTAGCTATGTTCATTTATATTCCTTTTTTTGCAATATTTTAAAATGTTTTACACTGCATTAATGCCATATTCCATAAGAAGGATATATGAGAGTTATCTTCATTAACTCAAATTTTCTCAAAACCCATGTGTGTCAAGCATTTAAAAGCGATTTTCTCGAGGCAGCTGTTTTACAGATTCCTGATTTTAGTTTGCAAGTAATGATATCATTGCAGATTACTGAGTTATTAAATTAAGATTATTAAATTAAGATTAGGAGTGGAGGAATTCTTCACGTATTTTTCTAATCGGATTAACACAACCGACAACGCTTTCGATTTATATAGAAAGCCTAGGTACTAACTGTTGAACACGTTCCTTTTAAAGCAGAATATAACAAGAAGCCTTCATAACGGGAATAGCACGGCAAATTAACGGTTAAATATGGTGTTATCTAATTGGCAATCGAAATTAAAGACTTGAAATTTTACAACAAGAAATTCTATTCGCAATGTTCAGAGCAAATAAAGAAAATGATAACAACACTACAATGAATAATAATAATAAAAAACATAAGAATCCTACTTTTAGAATAATGACAGTTTCTGCTTTATTTCTGAAGTATAACATAATCTAATTGAAAAACAATTATCTAGTTTTCGTATAGAAGGGTCTGTTATAGGTATAATATTTCACAACTACTCAGTCTATTTTATTCAAACTAAAAAACTAAATTGGATATGTTTCCTTATGTGAAATGAAATATTTATATTTTTAAAAGAAGAAGCAATGTGTATATAATGCTATCAAATACAAATGCTTATTTCCTTTATCATAACACTAAATCTAAGAAAACTCATGATTCATCAAATTTTAACTATTACTGTATCTCTTAAAAGATTATCACTTCAGGCATTATTTAAACAAGCACATATAAAATAAACCAAGTAAAATTTATTAAAGCTGCAATACAGGTTTTATAAACCAAAGTAATAACAGATGTAAATTTACGATTTGCAAGTGGTGAAGGAAAGAGAATAATTTGATTTACTCTAGAGATGAGCTAAAATCTAGACGATTACTTCTGAGTGAAAGGTAAGTAAAATTCAATTTTAATTCTTCTAATTCAAAGGTAAACTTTTCAGCGAAATTATGTAATGACAGGTGAAAAAGTACCACCGTCTCCTGCAGACATAAATTCTGAGAGCATGTTCTCTGTTTCTGTCTGAATGAATTAATACTACTAGTAGGTTTTCACATCATCTTTAAATTCTCTTTTTTATAATTCTGAATTAAGCAATTGAAGCGAAAGTAGAACAAGAAAATAAGAAGATACAAAAGAGCGAATTGTTAACAAAATAATAAAAAATTTACAAATTAACTTATTTCTTCTGATGTATTTTTGTGTATTTAAAAATATCTCACACATTTTGGCAAATACCTAAAGTTTAAATTTATGAATAAAAAACTCTTTAATTAATTTTTAACTATACATTATGCGAAGAAACACATTTGAAATATATTTAAAGTTTAATAATTTAATTCTAACTTTCCTTTATTAAAATAATCATAAAAAAGTGGCATTTGTAACAAACTGCTATATTTGACCAAGTAAAGCTTAGTAAAATTTTGTCACGTCTGAGGCTTTGGCTTAGTTTAAGTTCTCCTTAATTAAGTGAATTAAATGACAGACGCTTAATCCCGTTTGTTATTTACTTTACTCAAATTTCAGAGATACTTCGATGATTTAGTTTTCATCCAAAAGAGTGATATAAGTATTCGATGTATTTCGATGTATTAATACCAGAGCTATTTCCTGATCGGATGGTCGTTGGTGGCGGAAATCGTCGGAGGTTACGGTTCTCAGCATTGATCGTTTCATCGGTCAGGGTGGACCATTTCTCATCCGGGGTACTGAATCATTACCACCTCCCTCCTAGAGAGCAATTCACGAGAACTGAAATACTTTTTCTCTCGGGAAAAATCTTGTCTCCTATTGCGTTACGTGTTCATGTGTAATCTGTTTTATGTCCTCGTCTAGTGACTGTTATTAAAAGACACTGCTATTCTTTCAAGAAGTACAACTTCTAGCGCAAGCCTTCTTTTATACTTAGGTAATACTGACACGCTAATAAAATTGATCGATAAAATCGCATAATTAAGATCATGCAAAGAAACTGATATTAAAAACACGCTGGAAAAATGGTTTCATTACATGTAAAAATGTAATAAATGAAAATTTGTTTTTATGTGAAAATAGTTAATAGCCAAAAGAACAACTAGAAGAAACGAGATAATAAAACCGTAAGCATTATTTGTTGTCCCTCGTGTTTTTCTTTGGTTTTGCATTTTTAAAGAAATGGCATTACAGAACCATATACATTTTTATCCAAATTTTTGTTGCTTTTCCATCAAGCAACAGAAAGTAAAGAACATGGTGCAGCAATATGAAATTTAACATTTTTAATAAAATTAAATTATAATGCATTTGGTTAAATTTTGACTTCTTAACTGAAAGTAAAGAAGTTCGTCAGAAAACAACTTTTTCTCTTACTACAAGAAATTCTCGAAATACCAAAATTGGCTTCGATATGTTCTGCCAAAACTGTTAACCAAAAGTTGCTCTTAACCAGAACTTTGATATCTGTTGGTAAATTCGAGATAGTTTAAGAATGCTTATTAAAAACAACGAAATTAATTTACTTGAGGGAAGCAGGAAATAGCACACACATTTAGAAAGAGAAGCATGAACTGGCACACAGATGGAAAAAGACGACATAAAAATACATAAATTATATTTCCTGCCATTACCGCAAGTTACAATTAAATTCCAAAGCTTGCCCAAGATCTTTATGAGAACGTGACTTAGAGAATAAGAAGCTTTCAAAAATTAATGACAGATTATGAATAAATTATTAAATCGTCCAGAGTTATCGATAATTAAAGCACTAAGAGAACTTCCAGTAAAAATATATTTCATATCAGAAATTTTGAAAGTTTTCGCGTTTGAACGCATTCGTTTTTTCAGTTTCGATTAAATCAATTTTTGAAGCTGCAGACTGTAGAAGGAAATTAATTCCGTTCGAGATTTAAAAAGAAATAATGAAAACATTGAGCTTTAAAGAAAAAGCTGCAATTATTCGAATCATTTTAACCACTGTAGTATTCTAGTTCTGAATTTCGTAACAGAAGTGTGGCATTTAATGAAAATAGTTAACAGACAGTAACACTGCAACTGTAATATTTGCTAAAATGAAGAATAACTGTACAAAACAGTGCAATAAAATTATCCTAGCTCGTATCACATAAAAGATAGGCGGGATTACATGAGGTGGTTAATCTGCCAACGAAAAAAATAAATTAGCAATAAAAATTAAAACAATATAATTTTATAATAAATAAGACGATTCTATTTTTTGATATTTTGAAAGTTATCCTTTAATACTCATAACTGAGAATTTAGGTTAGTCCTCAAAATGTGAGCAAAAATAAGACACTTTGGTTTAGGTTTAATGAATTTCATATTTAAAACTTTTGGTCAAGAAATGTGTAGCAAACTTAGTAAGCTGTGACGTATTCTCATCGGAAATTGAAATTAGGATAAGCATCTAATAAAGAAAGTTATGATTAGAAATTTTACCTTTCAAGTTATTCGTAAGCTGCTCATTCATGCATTTGAAAGGTGAAAAGGAATGAAGTTATTTTCAGGAAATGTTCAAAAGTGTAAAATATGAAAAAAAACTTGGTTTATTCTTTCCATAAATAATAATTTAAAAATTCTTTTTTTTTGCGCTACTTCACATGCGCCTCGCAAAAACATTCAAATCGTACTGCAGATGGCATATGATATTGGGAAGAGAATTCTTACGTTTATTACAAATCTGAAAGAAACAATTAATTGGCATACATTGCACTATATCTAGAAATTCCAGCCAGGTTTGAATTGGTAAACTAGGCATTAACAACGAAACTGATGGAACTCATTATACACTCCATAAAATAATTATTTGGCTAATCGGGAAAGCAACGAAAACGCGTTGCTACGGAAGTGCGTAATATAATAAATGTAATAAATTCAAATTATAAGCCAAAATTAATTCATTTTAAAATCTTCAAAATCAAAATATAAAAATTCTCATATAAGGACTGGAAAACTTTTAAACGGAGTCATCCAAAAATATTTATTTACCTATCGATAGAAAATACTCTTCTTAATAGGAAACAAAATGAGCAGCTATGGAAAACATCAGCTTACTTAACTAGCCTATGTAGTAAAATACTTCAAGCCCGTGATTTTAGTTAAACAGCGCTTTTCTGACATGTGTAAAAGAAGTTTAAAAGACAAATAGAAAGTCCTTTACGTAAGTTTACCAACTGAGGAAAAGTTATTAAAAAAGATTATCGAAAGATGAAATAAATTGATAGAAAAATATAAATTTAGCATAACAGTTGCGTTCTTTGCCACATCTGGTGAAATAACTAAGTTATTAATCGAGTGATTCACCTCGAATAATAATTTCATTATTTAATTAATTGTGGCAAAGCGAGAAAGAACTCTGCACCTAGAGGTATAAAGTATTTTATGTTAATTAACAAATTATAACGATTTAAATTCCTGACTATAATTTCTCCTTCCCGTAGTTCTCATCAGAATGCAAATGAGTTGTTTGAGATTTAAGCTGAGGGTTTGAATGTTTTAGAGTTAGAACGTTTGTCAGCCCCGCCTGCAAGCTACGTTCTATCGCCAACTCCCCCAAAG